CGGATCTCTTTATGAAGGCATGAGCTTTTGGCTTGACAGCTTCTCTTATTATGAGCATCAGCATAGGATAGGAGCCGCAGAATATATATGCAAGTTCTGAATGTACTGGGCAAGCTTTCACCCAGTGATCCTCCATGATCTCCAACTCAGGATCCTTCTGTTAGGCTTCTGCCTTTCCAAGCCCGCTGGTGAAAAGAGGTGGAAGAATAGGTGTTATTGTATGTTGGGACATGCTGATGATTGTTGGTGTGTTGCCCGCAAGAACATGCCTTGCTCTATATATATATGCATCTACCTGGATGACTCGCACTAGATCGGCTGAGTGCTGACATGCTCTTATGGTGTAAGCCTTGTCATGAATGGTGCTTCTTCTGTGCTGTTTGTGGCGCTGCTGGGGGAAATCTTGATGTCACAATGAACTCTAATATGACTGCTTAGCGCCGTTCCTTCTGCCTCCACCATATTATTCATAATCCGTGCAATTGTGAGCTCAAAAGTCTAACCAAAGGAGGAAAGAAAAGTGTGTTGGACCAACAAACACTGCCGGAAATGTTTATGCAACTGCTTGAAATTAAGAACTGTTGCTCTGCAAGTTGACGTGTCGCATTGATACAGACAGTACCATTATATTATTGTGGATACTGCATCTTGTTTAATTTCACGGGGGCATCAAGTACCAAATGAGAATGAGATCAGTGGCAATTTGACCATTTCAGCCGAGACGCTTCATTATTGATGCTTACGACATAATTTACAAAGGCTATCACCAAAATGAATTCTGGCTCCCTGCTAAGCAGCAGACTATATATACTTGTACCAGTTGAGATTTGCAAGGCAAAAAATAGGGGCACCAACATGGTATAGATCTGTGAAACAAAGTTATTTACTTTTTTTGTATCTTCCACAAGTACCACTTGTTTTAGATGAACAACTTGACCGGTGATATTGATGCAATTAGGGTACAAATGATGCAGCTAGGCACAAGTCAGATCCGTCATTCTAGACCTCCGTTCCAAATTATAAGTCGTTACTCGCTAGGGAGTAGTTAGTAAAAAAACAAGCTAACTGAATCATGTGTGAGTTTTCTGTATGTAACAGTCGAGAGTAGCATTCATGTAATAAAGCCAAAAAAAAGAAGTTAGGACTGTAGATTACACTATAGCAGAAAAAAAGGACGACACGAGAACCATGAGCTAATACACTACAGTTGCATGACCCGTTGAAAAATATATTGTTTGTCGAAGAAATAGTTTGCATGACGCGCTCTGTGGGAGATCAGTAGACTTTTGAGCAATTCTGACGATTCTCTCCTCTCCCACTTGCTGTTGAGAGCGCAGCAGTTCCTCGGCATATATTTGGGCTATAGATACTTCAGTTAGTCTATACAGCTTCCTTATAGTAGTACTTCACAACAACAGTCATTTTTCAGAGAGAGAGAGAGGAAAAAACACTTAGCAACGACATCAGTAATTGACAAACGATTAAGGAGACCAAACCGAGCCTCCAAGGTCCAAGCACTCCATTCGCCCGGCGAGCGTCAGGGATACATACTGCCAACTTTCAGAGGCCGTTGCTTTCAGAGCATCATCATGCATTCGTGCTCGTGCCTGATGGGTTACCTTACCTACCGTGGATGCTGCTCCTGGTGCACGTAGCAAAGATGGAGTTATACTCGTCTATGAATGATGAATCCATCTTCCTTGACTTGGAATATTCAAGTCCCCATGGTTCGATGCAGTTCAGTACAACCTCGAGATTTCGATTTCAGATTAATTGTCAGATTCCGAGTATCCATGGTTACGTGCTACACTGTTGCATGTCTCAATAATTAATGTGAGCCCCTCAGACAGATCGGCCACTTCTTTGCCAAGTTCCCTGTCAAAATTGCCTACCCGGGCTCCACCTTCCTGGTTATCAGACTGACATATAGGAAATACTACTACCGGATATCAAGGAGAGTGATGTTGCCCTCTTGACAAATCATACATCAGCATGTAAAAGATGCACATAGAGCAAACATTTCACGCTAGTGCTCACTGCTAGGAGAAAACAACACTCTTGATGTAGGTTTATTACATGTTCCCATGCCGAACTGGATCCCATGGTGGTGATGACTCCTCATGGGTCCCAAAAATTAGGTGGCCCTTTCTTAATTAAAAAAAAAGTAGGTGGCCCTCGAGCTGGGACCCACTCACAAGAGAATTTAACAACCAAAACGGTATCTAATTGGCAGGAATTAACAAGGCCTCCCCAGAGGCCCAGACCCCAGCTGGTGGAGAGGGGTGCTGATGGCATATTGGGGTGCCACTAAACAACACACAAGCTTTTGGTCAAACAATTAGCAAGTAGCAAATATATGTATTTGCAATGGGCTCTGTGGCAGTGACCCAACCAATATAAGAAAAGGGAAAGCGAGCAGGGAAAAGCGGCTACTCCATTTGTTCTATTTTCTGGATGATGTCAAGGTATGTACCCCTCACAGATGAGCATTCTTGGTGCCTTGAACTTTATCATTGATGTCACTCTCCAACTAGTGTCTTCTACTCTTCATCCAATCGAGCCAAGCAATGTGCACCTCTCTCCCTCTCTCTACGCATGCAGCGCAAACAAGTGAACTGCATGATGTCCTGTCACTAGAAAACTGACTAGCTCAGAAGGAACACCAAATTAAAGGTAAAACCGTAAAAGGCCTTGCTTCCATGCTAGATTAAACCAGAATGACAGCAGCAGGTACAAACTAATCTGTAGCCTGTCAAGTACTAACCTTGATGTGTAATTTACCCATACCATTTTCCTGAAAACAGCGTTAGAGTACTAGAAGGAAATAAAAAGTTAATATAAAAAAGGCAGGCTTGTTGCATCACAAAGAGGCATCAAGATTCCTGTACATGTCACGGAATAATGAATCAAAACACTATTTCATCGCGTTCCTCCCTGGTCAGGGCGCAGAAACACGTTCACACGGGAGGAATCAAGCAAAATACGGTTAGTACAAATAGTAAGTAACGTCTTGAAAATATTTAAAACAGTTCCTAAACTGGAACAGCCTTGGGAATAAAAATCTATTGCTCCATCATATGATTATCCTTTCAAATTGGACTTTGGTACCCAGATCACATGTATCTCCACCCAAACCACAATTATGTTGCTAGTTTATTGATCTTTGATCACAAGAGCCATGGAATAACTCGTACTTTTTCACCTCTCCAAGTAAAGAACTGCAGAAAATGAATGGAAGTAAAGATCAAAGGCGATTAAATTAAAAGACTAGCCAATCCCAAATAGACAAGTGTCTGACCGTACACATGTAGCTTTACGAGATGCAATCCTAGGAGCATGCACAAATCATATTTAACAAGCAAGTGCTTCTATGATTTCTAGGAATATTGTTGAGCTCATAAAGCGTATACCATTAAAATAAATTTGGTGCCAGATAGCCCCACAGCTTACAGTTGTACCGTGATCCAGTATGAAGTGGTATCATTTTGCCTCTTCGTTTTACCAGAAATGTCTAAACATTTTTACATAAGCATTTGGGAAAGTGGTTCCTTTTATACTGGACGTGATTAGAAACAAACGAGATGACAACAATGTATCCATTCATTTGTTTCAATCAAAGTAAAGGAAAATGTAATCGTTAATAGAGAAGAGAATGATACCATATAAGTTGAGACAATCAGAAAACCTTTTTCTGCTATGAATTTTTCTGTTAGACAGAACCATGTATTTTATGGCAAGGTAGTGGGGACATTTTACATACTAAAACTCCAAACTTTTCTGAAACAGTTATCCTGGAATCTGCGGTTTGCCTTTCTTTGAGTAGAGAGGACAAATTTTGGTTGGCCCTACACCAATATATGCTAGAATCTCCAATCAATACACCACTTCTGATCCCCCTCTATGTTGTCACCACTGAGGTTAGGCCTGTTGCCTGCATTTCAGTCGTCATGCTTGTGGACCACTGGACCCGGAATCAGAATTCACAAATGAATGTGTGAGCTATTCAACAATAGTTATAGTTACAAGCTACTTTTTTCTACAAAATTCCCAAAATCTACCACAGCATGAATAGACAGTTTGGGACTCAGACCAACAAGTAATTGTTTATACGTGTAAAACAGCCGTCCCCAGTTCCTTCTGTTTGCAAAACCACCATTTTTTTAAAATCTCAAAAACCACCCGTGGTATTGTGAAAGAGAGGATTTCTTACCAAGGAATCCTTCTGAAGCTGCATAATCACCCTTGCAAGTTGACTTTATTATATATGGAAGCGGGTATGGACGTATGGTTGGATTCCTGCGTGGTGCAGCTGGGCCCTCAGTGAGAGGGAAAAATTCTAACAAATAAAGAAAAACAAAATTGCCATGGTGGTGGCCCCACAGCCTTTGTTGTTATTGTTACGACAACACCAGAAAAAAGAAGGGCGGCAAAACCAAGCCAGGCCAGGCCAAGCAAATTTCTTGTTCTCCTTTCCGTCTCACAGCAGCAGCAGGATCCACTAGATGCTCGGGTGGAGCACCGAGACTTTTCCGGCGGTAAGTTGAGCTGAGCAGCTTAGAGCTACCTGGTGGAGGTTAGCACCTTGCTAATCCAGGACCAGGAGGAAGAGAGGAGAACGGGAGCCCTTTTTTATGACAAGAAGGGAGGCGTCAGGCGTGTGTAACAGTGAGCTGCTCGCTACCTCTCTACCAATCTCTTTCGCTGCTTGCTTTCCATTGAAAATGATGTGTTCTTCCCTACCACGCACACCCTGCAATCCGAAGGCACGCATGCCTAGCACAAAAATTTCCCAAGGATTCCCATGTCCCCATGGTTTCCTAGCCCAAGATGTGCATGGAGAGCCTTGTTTATTGATCTCCAGCAGAACAGAAGTGAAGCACTCTGGCTTTGCATGCCCAAGTGTTGTTGTTATCGTTACCAAGATCATAGCTACCACTGATGCAGTGCGTTCGTGATGAACTGTGTAAGCAGGTTCTGAAGGGAGAGTTACCTGCATCTGCATGGAAGAGGGAGGAGACCCGCAGCTTCCGAGCATCTCCGTGCCACGCACCACGTCTGAAGGCGCGGGGGCCGTCGACTTGGATCTCCTTGAGCAGCTACTGTCCGGCGACAACGGCTGGCTCGACGTGGTCTCACGCTCGCCCAACTCGGTAGCGTTTTCTCCACCCTCGGCCTTCGTCTCGGCTGACGCGACAGCTACCACAGTGACGACGACGACGGCGGCGCCGGCCGCGAACGCCAGCTGGTGGATTCAGACGGGTGGCGCGAGCCCCTCCTCCTTGCGGGAGCGGTTCAGCCAGGCCCTGTCCTTCATCCGGGACACGCAGAGCGACGGCGACGTCCTCGTGCAGCTCTGGGTGCCGGTCAACCGCGATGACGGGAAGCTGGTGCTGACCACCAGCGGTCAGCCGTTCACGCTCGACCACCGCTCCGACAGCCTCATCCGCTTCAGGGAGGTGTCCACCAAGTACCAGTTCTCGGCCGACGTTAATTCAGGGGACACGCCGGGGCTGCCAGGGAGGGTCTTCATCGGCAGGCTCCCTGAGTGGTCGCCGGACATCAGGTACTTCACCAGCTACGAGTATCCCAGGGTAAGGGATGCACAGTACCTCGATGTCCACGGCACCATGGGGCTGCCAGTGTTCGAGAAAGGAAGCTACAATTGCCTGGGCGTCATCGAGCTGATCATGACAAGGCAGAAGCTCAACTTCACCTCTGAGCTCAACACCATCTGCAGTGCTCTCCAGGTATGAGACCTCAATCTCACTGCCCCTGAAAGTTCAGAGTAGTATACAGCAAGTGTGTTAGGTTAGTTGAAAAAATCACCAGCGTAGTGCAGGAAAAGAAAACAGCAGTTTGGCCACTGATGTCACCTTGAAGTACCTGCATGACAATTATTAATGTAGAAAATCAATAGCGTTTCCAGGTCTGGGGTTTCCTAATGATGACAAGGGTCTTTGCAGGCAGTTAATCTCAGAAGTACAGAAGTTTCGAGCATTCCACGCATAAAGGTTAGCAGAAAAGAAATTATACACTCATTGTGTTGCGGCTTTGAATTTTGGCAAATACCTCATTTTTACGAAAATAAGAATCTCAGGACCTCTATATTCCAACTTAGTGTAGGCTGATATGGAAATCTACTTAAATTGCATGCTGGTGAAGAAAAAAACTTTGCACGTTTCTATTTACCTACCCCAGCACAAATATAAAGCAAGTGTATAAGATATTATTGAGACATGAAACAGCGATGCTTACATCTTCTCACTCATGACTTCATGGCCACTCTTATTGATTATCCATCAGTTCAGCACTGCTTCCTACAAAGATGCTTTACCAGAGATACTGGAGGTCCTGAGAGCAGCCTGCCTGACCCACAAGCTGCCATTAGCTCAGACATGGGTCACATGTGCTCAACAAGGGAAAAGAGGCAGCCGACATTCCGACGAGAACTACAGGTACTGCATTTCCACCATTGACGAAGCATGCTTTGTGAATGAAGCTGAGATGCGGGGCTTCCATGAGGCCTGCTCCGAGCACCACCTGCTGCGTGGGGAGGGGGTGGCAGGGAAGGCCTTCACAACAAACCAGCCATGCTTCTTGCCGGACATTGGATCCTCAACTAAATTGGAATACCCCTTGTCTCACCATGCCAAGATCTTCAAGTTAAAAGGTGCAGTGGCGATCCGACTGCGGTGCACACGCACTAGGACAGCAGACTTCGTGCTGGAATTCTTTCTGCCAACAGATTGTGAAGCACTGGAGGAGCAGAAGACAGTGCTGGACTCCTTGTCAGGCACCGTGCAAAGTGTTTGCCAGACTATACGTGTGGTCACTGATAGAGAGATGGAAGACGAAGCAGTGCTGGAAATGAACGAGCTGAACTCATTTACTCCTCAGGGGAAGGACAAAGTTGAGTTGTTGTCCTTTGGAGGCAATTCAGCAGATCGTAGAGGAGAGGCCTCTTGGACAAGTCTGGCAAGAACTTCACAGCAAGAATCTGAGTTAGCTGCATTGCGGATGCATGGAATGTTCTCACCTGGGGGGCAGGGTCCATCTCTATCTGGTGTTCACGCAACTGCTGAAGGCAGCAAGGCAAAAAGGCGTACAAAGGCCGAGAAGACCGTTAGTTTGCAGGTTCTTCGGCAGTACTTCGCTGGTAGCCTGAAAGATGCAGCAAGGAGCCTTGGAGGTGAGTGAATCATCAGATAAATGCAAGATTCAGCAAAAGATAGTTTACTGCTTCCATAGATACCATCAGTCATTTAATTATAGCGGTACAACTAATGCAGCCAGCATGCTAATCTGATTAAGCAATAATATAGTGTTACTTCCCATCAGAGGGTCAACCATCACATGCATCCCATAGTCAGAAGATGAACATTCTTATCACCCTTATCGCGATCTGTGTTTCCTTTCCATGAATAGTATACCACTAGTCCACTAGGCCCCATATATAGAAAGCACATGAACATGAAGAGACATAATGCAAGTACAGCACAGCAGAAAGTCAACTTTCAAGAACTGACATAACAAATACTAATATAAAAAAATCAGCGGGCAGATCAACCTTATGGTTTCTAGCTAATTGAGCAAACAGTGCACATAGCCTAGAATTGAATGATCAGTCTCATGCAGTCTGTTTCATTGCTTACTAAACAAAACACTCTGCATAGACATTATGAAATGATCAATATGATGATCTCACCCTTACGCTCACAAGCTAACTTATCATGATGGCAATTATGGCATACACGTAGGAAGACATACATTCCAAAATATGCCCATAAACTAACTTATCAGAGTGACATGATATGATGTTTTCCACAATTAGAATAGATGGATTTAGGGCTTCGTGAGTCAACATAGGTAAAATTATTTCTTCTAGACAAGGGGCAGACTGCATCCTTATCATGTGTGCATTGCATCTCCAGATTGTGATAGCATCTTTTATTAGAGCATGCTTATATATGTGTTTGATCTGGTTGCAAATATGCTAACTTTTTTTTATCTCCCACAGTGTGCCCTACGACCCTCAAAAGAATATGCAGGCAGCATGGTATAACCTGCTGGCCATCCCGAAAGATCAAGAAGGTAGACCACTCTCTAAGAAAGCTTCAACAGATCATTGATTCGGTTCATGGAGCAGAGACAGCTTTCCAGCTAAACACCCTGTACAAGGATCTCACAAACACCTCAATCTCATCTGACAACAATTTGTCAGGAAGTGTCACGGTTCCTCCAACTAACCAGAGCAATCTCACCGACTTCAACAAGCACCAACCCCACAAGTCAAGTAGCAATGTGCCATCAACTTCACACTCACACTCTTCTTGCAGCCACAGTTCTAAGTCAAGCCCCTCATGTAGCGGTGGTGCAACAAAACATGCACAACAGGGTATAATTGATCTGATGAAGTCAGAAAATCCTGTGAAAGACAGCTCTATTCAGACTCTGCAAACAGAAAACCCTTCATTATGTGAGCATTTCTCAGTTCATGAGGCTCCAATTGATCTTCTACAGGATGTTACTGAAAAGGCTAATGGTGGACATCATTCTTCTCGAAGCCCATCGTCCCCCAACCCTAAGCAGAACACAGATGCAAATATGAGAGTAAAGGCAACATTTGGCTCAGAAAAGGTAAGATTCAGACTGAATCCAGAGTGCAATTTTCAAGAACTGAAGCATGAAATAGCAAAACGTTTGAGTATAGTAGACACAAACCACTTGGTTTTAAAGTACTTGGATGATGATTCAGAATGGGTCTTGATGACATGCGATGCAGATCTACAGGAGTGCTTTCATGTATACAAACTAGCAGATATCCAAACAATCAAAATTTCAGTTCATTTAGCTATTAGTCCAGCTACAAGGGTCACAACTGGTCACACTGGTTTGTCATGACAACAGTATGAGCCTCACCATTTTGTGAGGTTTAATCAGAATTCAACCTGGATCACTTGGTTTTATGCAGGGGAAACCAAGATTCCAGGAGTCCAGGGTTGATAGCCTGTTCAATGCACTATGTGTCACCACGTCCCAGTTCTGCTGTTAGATCGATTAGTCTTCGATCTGTTGCTCAGGTTAGGAACTGATGATCAAACAAGAGTACTTGACCACGGGAAATTCAATTCTAGGAATTAGGATAAACCGAAGTAAGCATGCATTGCTTGTAAATACTCACTGATGAACCTGAATCTCTGAATGACAATGCAATTGATTGAATTAATAGGGTGATAGGGTGAAGCATATCTACAAATCAGATTTGCTCCAACTCCAAGTATGTTTTGGTTCTTGGAATACTGATGTGCAACAATCCTTGATGGCTTCTTTCTGATAATTGATCAGCTACAATGGTCCCTTAAGACAATCCTTAATGGCTTCTTTCTGATAATTGATCAGCTACAATGGTCCCTTAAGATCACAGCATTCCTTCATCGCCTGAGTGACCAGCATGCTCTGTTCAATGGACATGAAACTCTGCTTCTGAAATTGCAATTTTCTGCAGCAAGGATTAGATCTAGAAATAGGATGATAGGATACTTAGTTTGTTCAATTTGTTTGTCCTTTGCAAAAATTAAAAAAACATTGTATGGTACACTACATTATGGGCCTCTTTGAAAGAACGTCTGCTGCTGTAGACATTACAGATTGTTTTCCTTTTAAGAAGCTTCCATTTGTGAACCGTTTGGTATGTCAATTGCCAATTACCAATATAGAGATTAGATTATGCCACTATTCTAATAACCAGCATACGGAAGCACAGATGTGACTGGTGTCAACATATTTAATTAAAGTTAATCGGCAATCATTTATTTTCATATTTCCCTTGCTAATGATACAAGTTACACCACAGCAAGAATAGAGAATACAATATAGCTGGCTCACTAAATGAAATGTACATGGGTAAAATATGTGTAGCTTAGAATACAATATGTAGCCAGAATACAAAGTATATAGACCCTTTCACTGACAGGTTCACATCAGAAATATGCCTCTACATTATGAACCAGCAGTCCAATAGCAGAAGGAACACCATGCCAACCACATCATGCAAATCTCATTTGAAGGGAGTAATAATTTGCTTCTAGAATTGAGACGTCAATACCCAAAGATGGCAGAATGATGGAGGAAACTAATATACTACATATGTAGCAACAATAAAAAAAAGAAACAGATTTCTCTAGTGTATTTGCCTTTTTCTCCTTGCCTTATTCTCATGCCCTGGATGACAATACTGGCCAGTTGTGTGGTTATCATGATTGGTCACTCATGCCCTCAAATGATCTCTCACATTACCGAAAGTCAAAAGTATTGCACAAGAAGTAATATTACTGGTCCTAACCTAATCACTCAAGAGTGCTGACATCAGGAGTCCATCCTTACAACTCAAGATTTGCAGTTTTCTTACAAAGCAGAATACCTACAAAACATTCAGCACCTAGACATTCCTGACAGGACAGAGTTGCTGGTCAAGTTTAAGGCAAAGGATTCAACATTGTATATTCCAACCAATCTCAGCTTGGTTGGCTCTAAAACCTTCCTGAAAAGTACCTGTAGATATGCTCATTTTTTTTACTGCAACAATGTTTGTGGTCATTGTCCTAAACAACAGTGCACTTACCCATAAACAAGATGATTTAGTAACCAACTAACAAGACCACAAGAGAAATGACATGCTCAACTTTGTTTAGCTGCATACTGCAGATCTTATAGTCTGAATGTTACAAGATTTAACAATGGTTTCAACTTTCAAGATGGAGATGTTTTCATCTCTTTTTTTAGGGACCAATTTAAGTACCTATATGCACTTGTAGTTGTATCAAGAAAGTGAAAACAGTCCTGTGATCCACTAGAAAAAAGCAAGAACTTGCAACAGAAGCACAGGGTATCAGAACATAATATTTTCATCACACGTTGAAAAGTAGGAACTCTAAATGAATATTGTCCGTTTGTTAAATGAACTAACAGAAGCACATGGTTTTATAGGACGGCGATTAGACCTGCTATGTTGTATGGTGCAGAATGTTGGCCTACAAAAAGACGACATGTTCAACAGATAAGTGTCGCGGAAATGCGTATGTTGCGTTGGATTTGCGGTCATACAAGAAGGGATCGAGTTCGGAACAATGATATACGTGATAGATTAGGGGTAGCACCAATTGAAGAAAAGCTTGTCCAACACCGGTTGAGATGGTTTGGACATGTCCAACAGAGACCTCCAGAGGCACCGGTGCGTAGTGGAATCCTAAGCCAGGATAGTAACGTGAAGAGAGGCAGAGGAAGACCGAAGTTGACTTGGGTAGAGGCAATAAAAGGAGACTTGAAAGGATGGAATATACCCAAAGACTTAGCCTTAGATATGAGTGCTTGGGAACAGCTATTCACGTGCCTAAACCTTGATTGCTTCTGCTGGGTTTCAACTCTAGCCTACCCCAACTTGTTTGGGAAATTGAGACTTAAAGGCTTTGTTGTTGTTGTTGTGCATAAGTTAAGCAAAACCTGGGTACAATATGCTGCCTTTATGTGTCCCTTCTCAGTCTAGGCAGTAGGCACAGTGATTCATTGCAATAAGCATACCTTAATGGTATATGAAGATTTAATCAGAAGAGAGAAAAGAAATAAAAATCTACTGATATACAAGAAGTAATTGAGAACCAAGCAGTAAGCATACACAGCTAGCAACCATCTTATAGCTGGCAACAAGCTACTAAAAGCAAAAATGGCGTCCTTAACAAAATGTCGAATTAAGAGCACAGACAATCTAAGCATGATGACCAGCAGTTCTGAAAAGCATTTGATTATATTAGACCTAAACTGAGAAATGATTAAATATTTCTTTTCTGGATGGCCATTTTATCAACAAGTCATAGTAGCCAAACCAGGGATGCTGTTTAGATGAATAATAAGCTTAATAATCAGGGAAACAATACAGTGACAAGACGAAGTCTGTAACAAGTAACCAGCCATCAATTAACTTCTGAAATTTGAAAATCTAGGATTCAAACACAAAGCTGTTGATCAGTAACTCACGTTAGATCTATTGTCAAAACACAACAACCTTAGCCGGATACACTGAAGCTTAGTTAGCAAGATACACTGAAGCTTAGTCGTCGTCCTCGTCACTCTCGTCGCTGAAGTAGCCTTTCTTCTTCTCCTTCCTTGCCGCCTTTCCCTTTCCCTTTCCCTTTCCCTCTTCCTTCCCAGCCGCCTTCTCCTCCTCTCCCCTGGTATCCACTACCGACGCCCACCTGTCGTCCTCGAACGCCGCGGCGGCAGCAGCATCCTCATCGTCATCCGAATGCCAATCAGCCTCGCCCCCGCGACCGCGCCCACGCCCGCCACTGCCCCCACCACCACCACCACCACCACCACCGCGGCGCGACTTCTTAGACGGTGCGGGCCTCTCGCGGGGCCCGAGCTGGTTGCGGGGGCACTCGTAGGATAGGTGGCCCTCCTCGCCGCACTCGTAGCACCGCGACTTGTCCCGATACACGCGGCGGCGGATGAACTCCGCAGCGCGGCCGTTGTCGGCGGCGATGGAGGCGGAGAGCGTGCGCCCGTTGAGCACCTTGCCGTGCATCTCGGCGGCCGCGGCCGCGGCGTCCTCCCGGTTGACGAAGAGGACGAAGGCGACGCCGCGGCTGCGGCGGGATTCACGGTCCTTGAGGACGGTGACGCGCGCGACGCGGCCGAATCGGGAGAAGAGGAGGTGGAGGTCGGAGTTGGTGAGCGCGAAGTCCAGGTTGGACACGTAGACGGTGGATTTGGACGGCGCCAGACCGCCCGAGCCCCCGCCCCCGCCCCTTGGCTTGCCGCCGCCTCCCGCGGAGGCGCTTGCTGAGGCGGCGGCGGAGGGGAGCGGGTAGCGGTAGAGGAAGCTGTCGTCCTCGCCGTCGGAGTCGGAGCCTCCGCGCCGCCGGCGAGACATGTCGTGGCTGTGGCTGCGGCGGCGCTTCCGCTTCGTGGTCTTCTCTGTTCGCCCTCTGTGTTCTCTCTTTCCCTTTCTCGGGTGACCCAATTGCCTCCTAATTCCAAGTTTTTTCACTGTCTCTCCATCACATTAATTTTTTTAACGTATGAATGGAACATTAAATGTAGGTAAAAAAAAATAACTAATTATATAGTTTGGATGTAAATCACGAGACGGGTCTTTTGAGCCTAGTTAGTCCATGATCGGACAAAGTTTATCAAATACAAATGAAACGTGCTACAGTGTCCAGATTGCAAAAATTTGCAATCTAAACGAGGCCCAGATTCTGCTTGCCAGATGGAAATCAGCGAGAGTTGATGTGAGTTTCATTTGCATTAATTAGGTTGTCACATAGGTATTTTTTATAACATGGTAGTGTATTTAAGAAGAAAGAGAAAAAATGACATAAAACTCTCTTGTCATGATTATCAACTATTTATGAGTCATAAAATTAAATGCGTATGAAACTATAGAATGGAACTTAGCATTAAAAGTAGATGTTTCGTCTAAATTTCATTGTCTGAAAACAACGCCATAAAACTATCCACTGAGATCAAGAAACTTTTCGCATGGCGCGGTATGAAGAATAACATCAAGTTATTTGTTGCTGGCTGTACCACTTGCATCCAAGCAAAACCGGACCGCTCAAAATACCCAGGGCTGCTGTCTCCTCTCCCTGTTCCATCTGAAGCCTGGCAAGTTATTTCGATGGACTTTCAGCATGTTCGGCGGGCCGTAAACGATCGTGGATTATTTACTGCTGGCTAATTTGGTGTGAGAGAAAAATATTGTTTTGGTTGGAAATTTACGATCGTTTACGACCAAGCGAACAGGTTGTTTATTGATGGCCTTCCTCGTTCTGGGCACGCTGACTGTATCATGATTGTGGTGGATAAATTCAGTAAGTTTGCACATTTCATCCCTTTGCTACATCCTTACTCTGCTCAAAAGGTTGCACAAGTCTTCCTTGATAGTGTCTTTCGCCTCCATGGTATGCCCACTCACATGACAGTGTATTTAAGAAGAAAGAGAAGAAATGACATGAAGCTCTCTTGTCACGATTATCAACTATTTATGAGTCATGAAATTAAATACGTATAAAACTATAGAATGGAACTTGACATTAAGAGTAAATGTTTCATCTAAGTTTCATGGTCTTGAAAACAACGCCATAAAACTATCAACTGGGACTAACCTTTAAAAAAGTTCATTTTGGATATGATTTAAGATACCAAGCACATCGCTAATCGCTATGATGTCATCACTCATGACACGGAAGAAGAGTGAGTTGTCGACATCTTTTCCCCTTCCCCAAATAACTACACATTCATAACGATTAGGTATGATAGGAACACTTGGTCACATAAATGAACCTGGAGTGATTTTAACCATTGGGTTTCGACGTGTAGCCGTGCTCGTCGGGGCAAAAAAAAAAGTAACAGGAAAGACTGAATGAAACAGCAGCTAGTGTGAAACTGTGAACGAACGGCCAGGTCAGTCAAGCATGCAAACCGGTGGCTCCTCTAATTCACAAAACTGCATGGAACTCCGCTCCCTCCCATTAACTGGTAGCTGACCAAGAAACAAAGCAACTAGTGCCGCACGCTCACCAGTCAGGCCTATTTAAGCGAGAGACCCTTGCCACATCCAGCCTCTAGACTCTGATCGCTGCCGCCGGCGAACAGCGTCACAGAAGAAGCTCAAGACTCTACCATGGCGACAGTGAGGGGCTTCACCTTCTTATTCCTCTGCTGATCCTTTTCCCACCATCACCAGGAGTTACAGATGGATTTGGTTCTTCCATTCATAGGAGGCGTCCAGGCGATTCAGGTTCCAGGTTGAGATGCACTGCCGCTGCATTGGATGCGTCAGGAAGGTGGAGAAGGCCATGGCGTCCATTGGGAGTTTCAGTGGTACATCCTTTCTAGCTGTTCATCTCCTCTCACTCTATATAGATTCTGCAAATCAGAACAAAGATTTTTCTTTTGTGACACAGGAATTGAAACTTCTGTGGGGGGTGTTAACAGTGGGATTATCACGGTGGTTGGAAAGGTGAACCCAACAGAGATTTGCCACTGGCTGAAGAGGAAGACGAAGAAAAATGTCAAAGTTGTGTACCCTGATACTCCAATTGAGGATCACAAACAGGTACTTGCTGTATGATAATAGAGTAGAATGAATGGCAACATGGTGTCAATTTTCTAGATGAATATATTTCAATTTGAATACTTTAATATCCACTGGACTATAATGTGTACATTATGCCAAATAGAAGGAAAGTGCTTTGACACAGATCAAAGCATATTATCAGAAGTTTAAATGGCGTTAGACTACAAAACCATGTCAAAATCTGACAAAGCTGTGCGGCTGACATAGATACTGGTTAACTATGTCTAACAGTCCATGGTTCCTCCTTCACCATGATTTCCAAAACTGAAACTAACACCTGTACTTGTTTGCAGAAAATGATATTGGTTCTAGGAAGCAGTTCACAAGGTGGGCACCCTACACCCTCTGCTCCACCTTTACGAGATGACATGCCCTGGGCTTTGGTACCATCAGGAGTTCAACCAGACCATGAGAGCCTACATTTCATTGAGGAGAAGATCAGGGGCCTCGAGAAGATCAGGGATGAGCTGAAGATCAAGAAACTGCAAAACGAGCTGATTGTAGCCAAGAGTGAACTCAAACAGTCAATGAGAGTGATCAATGGGAGTAAGAAGGTTTTGCTGGATAGTGCTTTGAATCAGCTCAAAGCATACAAGAACCTAGAGGCACTTAGTCAGTAAAGTTATGCCAGCAATTCTAGGGCCTGTGAGGGTCTTGCTATAGTTGCTGCCGCAGCACCATGTTTTGTGAAGGTGCTCTGTAATTTAACTGTGGTTTGCTACTAAGTAAAAGTTATCAGTTATTGGGTCTTTTGTATCTATCAAACCTGTGCACCCTTTTTGACTACCAAAACACCATTGGGTGTCAATTTCCTTCCCAATAGGGAACTTATCCTGCATGACCTTTTGGTGAATTACTGGATCATTTCCTCCTTTTTCTGATATTTGTAAGTGGTCTGAGAGTTAGATGATATCAAAGTAGCAGATTACACAGAAGTTTCAGCAGTGATATTGCTACACACAGAAAGCTATAATAGTGTTCAGTTAACTGAGAGTTTCAATGGCAATGCTACTGAAGCAACATATAACAGCACGTACAGTAACAATCAACATGCTCAAATTTATTACTTTTGTGAGTTCGAGGAACCAACTGGTGAGCTGATGGTTGTTTCAGACGTGCGGCCTGTGGTCGCCATCGTCGTCGATGTGGAGGTTGACCCCGTGACTGCGCAGCGCATTGAGGATGGCCCAGACCTTGGTCTGGTTCTTGAACCCTTTCTTCGCGACCTCTTTCTCCGCGTTGGCGTATATGGGCTCCCGCGCGAGGCCGTCCACCTTGAGGCGCATGGCGAGCACCTCGCCGACGGCAGCAGCCGCCTTGGCGTTGCAGGCGCGGCCGCACTCCAGCCCGTCTCGCAGGGGCCGCTCCGCGGTCGAGGCGGTCGTCACGATGCGGCCGCTCTGCCGGTCCACCACGTTCGCCGTGACGTACTTGAGCGAGATGAAGAGGCGCAGCACGTAGCGCTTGGCGACGGACATGGACCGGTGGCCTCCCTCCGGCTAGGAACTGCGGCGAGGCGGAGGAAGGAAGCGCTACTACGCGTGCAGCGGACGCGTCAGTGGCTCGGTGGCGTTTCGTCGAACGACTAGGGGCGCGGCCGTTGACGTGAGCGACGGCTCAACGAGCGAGCGCGTGGGCGCAAGCGGGTGGTGGCGGGAACAGAGTGGTAGTGGGGGACGTAGGAGGAGGCAGTGGGGTGGAATCGGGTGATCGCCGCGGGCCGTGGCGGCGCCGGAGGCGAGGCTCCCTGTCGTCGGCCAGCTGACCCGACTTGACGACGCTAGCTATCAAATAGGTGAGCGGAGAGCCCATTAGGTTGCCTTTTCTTTTAGGTTAATGCTCCAACACGACCGCATCGGTCAGTTCGGACGAGGCTGGGTTGGGGACCGGTCCACGGGCATGCTCTTTTTATTAGCATACTTTTTATTGGTATACACGGTTTCTCAAAAAATAATAAAAAGAGTGACATCTTATCTTTTTCATTCGCATCGCCTTGATCGCTCGCGTGCCGCTGTTCGCATATGCACGAGCGACGAGCGCCGCCGCTGTTCGCATATGCACGAGCGACGAGCGCCGCCGCTAGCCGCGTACGCACGAGCTCCACCGGCCACGCTGCGCTGCCCGCCCGTGGTGAGGGAGACCACTGCCGCCTCCACCACGGGGGCCGGACGCTTGCCCAGCTCGCTGCGGCGGGGTGTGGAGCTCGTCGTCAGCAGCGTCACTCCGCCTCACCAGAGCAGAGCCCGCCCACGCACATTATCAAGCGCCCCCCCCATGTTAGCGATTCGGCCGTGGCGGGGCGGAACTTCCGGCCACGCAACCCGCGACGTCCGGGATAGAACTCCATACGTTGACGAGGATCCAATCTCCCAAGTAGCAAGGAGATGTTTGCACTGAAACTTCATGTTGTAAGCGTCTATTTCAAGTGTTTCTAATGTTTCAGAGGTATGTTGTAAGTATTTTATATCGATATTGCAAAAGTAGATCGAGATGTTGCACATGTTGCAATAGTGTTTTCAAGTGTATGTCATAAATGTTTTATCCGTTTCAGACGTATGTTGTAAGTGTTTCATCTGGATGTTGCAAAAGTAGACCCGAGATGTTACATATACATGCATGTTGCAAGCGTATGTTTTAAGTATTTCAGGTGTTTTATACGTATGTTGCAATTGTTTTATCTGAATGTTGCATATGTTTTGCAATGTCTACAAGCGTGTTTATTGGTGTTTCAGACGTATATTGCAAGTGTTTTAATTATTTCGGACATATGTTGCAAGTGTTTTATCTAGATGTTGCAAAATAGATCTTGGTGTTGCATATGTTGCAGTGGGACCCATTTGCAGCAGCCACCTGCTGCAGCTGCTAGGGCCGCCTGCATGCGTGTGGGTGTGGAGACTGGAGAGGGCGCCATGGTGATACTGAGCAGTGCGGGGCCTACATGAAGCAGGCGTAACAGCTGGGTGTCCGGGCGCTAGCCATGTCCGAACTTTCGGGCGCTATGATAAAGACCAGATTGTAACAACCAATGAATTGAACAATTTATAAAAACAATCGGACACTAGGTTTAGCGAGGAATGGAGCTCACCAAAACAAAATCGATGCCTATCAAGGTTTGATCTCGCCAGAAATTGTATATCCACGTGGGATAGAAGTTGGGAAAATATATGAAGAGAGGAGAGAGACGACAATGGGCTTAAACCAAAAAATTGATTGGCACTGTCACTGCATGGAGTTTGCGCCATGGACACAAATGGAACGCATGGAGAAAGGACCAACAAAAGCAAGCAAGCAAACAAAGACACAAACAAATTATTTTCAAGTAAAAGAAAACTCATGCCACTGAAAAAAAAAGAAAAAGCTAGCTACCGGTGCGTTCTTGCAGAGTGCAACGTGCTCTGCCTGCGTAGTACTCCCTCCGTCTCAAATTATAAGACGTTTGACTTTTTTAGTCTAAATTTGACCACTTATCTTATTAAAAAAACTGTGCAAACATAGTCAAATTTAAGTCATTTTTGAAGAACTTTTATTAATAAACCAAGTCACGACAAAAGAAGCGATATTTTATATAAATTTTTGAATAAGACAAGTGGTCAAATTTGGTGTCAAAAAAGTCAAACGTGTTACAATTTGGGGTGGATTGAGTATCTTATTACTCGTCCTCAGTCTCGGCCCAAGTCACGTCCGTTCCATTTTCTTCTTCTTTCTCCTTCCCGTTCCGGGGAGGTTGCCCCTCCGGCGAGACCCGCTCCTGCAACAGGAGCCATCAATTGTTAAAATCCAAATCAACAATGAAAAGTCGACACGGTACGGGATACGCAACGCAACACGAGTCCGAGTCGGAGCCGAGGACGATCGGCGCGGACACTTCCCGCGCCCGGGTTGTATATACGTCAAACAGACGACGAACCAAATTCAGCTCGTAATCGTAGCCAGAAGTCCAGCGCCCAAGGGAAAGAGGCGGCCTATATATATGGAGGAAGACGAGGCGGCCTCGCAGTCGCATCGCCAGCCCTGCGTGTCGTCGTCCAAGACCAAGCTTAGCGTCGCGAGTTCGCGACGAAGCCTGCTGCTGGGCATGACGTGCCTGGTCGCCCTGTGCTGCGCCGTCTTCTTCTGCTGCTGGTACGTGTCCGCAGGGCGCCGCAAGATCAATGATGAGCGGCAGAAGGAGACCATTGATGCCGCGAACCCACCTCCACCTGCTGGAGCCACGGCCCGCGACCGCGAGCGACCGGCTGCCCAGCACCAGGAGCCTTCTCCTCGTCCAGTCGTCCTCCTGCTGGCCCATGGCCGGAGACCCTTGCTCATGGAGACGTTGCGGTCCATGAAGATTGAGCAGGAGGCGCTTGTTACCAACGACCCACCTGCTGCTGCCAGAAACCAGAAGCCGCCGCCTCCGACTCCGACGCCCAGGCGGACGGCACGGCCCAGGCAACCGTCGCGGCGTTACAGCGCAAGGGAATGGGCGCTGTGAATCCCTGTTGTAACTTGCCTTCTTGCACTGGCCTCTCCGTTTGCTCTCCTCCGATCCTCCTCCGGCAGGGCCTTTGCTTTGCTCAGTTGCTCTTCTGGAACCTTCCAGGCTATTCTAGACTGTACCGTAGCAGTACTGCAAGAGTTGCGGACGCCTTGGAGTGGAGACATGCTGAAATATTTCAGTTCAGATTACCTTGTGTTACGATACGTTACGTTACGTCACAGTCATGCCTTCGACTCTAGTAGTATTGGCACACAAAAAAAACTGTGGCTTGCCGTATGGCCAAATCATCTGGAATCCTGGAAGAGATTTTGATCGAATTCTCTGAAACTTGTGACTTGCGAGAGAGCCGTTCTTCAGAAATGTGTATTTTGAAGTATGTTTGTCTGATCATCAAGTAGCGGGCCTTTTTTTTTTTCTGGGTTTACATGTTTGAAGCAATTCGGTGCCGCGATAATACTAGACTAGACTGATGTCGAGGATGGTACAAGACCGCAGATCGTCGTGAACTCGTGATGGCCGGTTGCCAATTGACGGTTGGCGTCTTGGAGTCTTGGCCCGCGGCGCTGACGGCAGCCGGCAGTCCGTCGTGAGTTCGTGACCTCCGGCTGGTCTTTAATCTTTATCTCCAGTATAAGTTTCAAAAAAAAACAACGGTTATCTTAGAAAAAAGAAATCAAGATCAACGTCGAGATGTCGCGTCGGGCTGGCGGCATGTTACGCCCGACGTGTCATGTGGCTACCAAAGGGACCCACTGAAAAACACATTTGTACACACAAGTTTTAGAAGGGCCCATCAGCAGCGGCACGCCGGCAGCGGCAGCCGCAACGAAAAGCATTTCGGTGCCACCCGCGTCCAGTTTTAATAAACGCAGGCAGTGTTCTCCGCTGTTCTCCTGAACTCCAAACTTTTTGTCTTTTTCTCCTGTTATATAGGGTTTAGCCTCTCGCAATCCACGTCGACTCCGCCTCTCGCAAGTTCTAATCCACGCCGATGTCGCCGCCACCGTCGCCGCCATCTCCACCGTCGCCACCGTCACCGGCGGCGGATTTCGAGAATGCACCGCCGCCACCACCGCCTACGAAGGCACCGCCGCCGCCATCGCTGCCTACCCAGATGATCGCGCGGTTTGAGAACGCCGTGGCTGGAGTTGAAGGGATGAGGCAAGCACGGTTTCCGCACCACACTTAATTTCTCATTTCTGCCTCAATTTATTTAAATTGTTGCTGTTCTTTGGTGCAACAACGCGCAGTGTCAATCCTTCCAGAGTCTCGCTAGAAGGTACATTACGGGGAAGGAGAGTGCGTTCCGCCCGCTGTGGTTTCCTATGAAAAACTTACCGTTTCTGGATCTTTGGGTGCGCGTGATCGATAGATCTGGATGGTTTTACATTGGTGCACAGGTAAGGAAGATGGCCAGAATTTGATGAACAAGATTGCTGTAGTCAAGCTTCTTAGGACCACATCTTTCATGGGTACTGAGTGAATACAATTCCATCAACTCTTATTGTCTGTGACTTGATGTGTGACTCGATGTGGTACTGTGGTCTATGTGTGGATAGGGGGATTGCTTCTAGTTTTGGGGGGTTTAGCAACCACGAATTCAAATGAGGCCTTGTGGGTATTTGTGGCTAAGTAAATGTTACTCTCACTGTTCCAAATTCAAATTGTAAACCATTTTGGCTTTTCCAGGCACATGTTTTTCGATAATGATATATGACGATCGTCCGGATGGGAAACGGACGCACCCAAAGCCACGCCAAACCGACCCGCCCCTGCCGCATGCCGTCTCCCAGACGTTGTCTCCCGCACTCATCCTTATCCTCTCCTCGCTCACTCCCGCAGCCGTTCCTCTCCATTCTACCGCCGCCCCGCCCGTCGGGACGGACGCCGCGCCCAATCGCTGCCGCCCCGCCCTCCCGCCGGTGCTCCCTCCATCCCTCCCCCCTCCCACGACTCCATTGGTACCCCACGCCCCCAGCGACACGAATCCCGCTCCTC